TGGGTTCGACTAGGCAGCGTTTCCTGGGAGAAGTCCCATTCGCTGTCTGGGCTGCGTGTAGAGGGGGCAAGGGCCCTGAGCTGATGATGAGCCTTACCAGCCTGACTGTGCCAGGATCACCCGAACCCTCTCTGCTGCATACTATCTTTAATCTGTAAAACATAATAATAATAAGGGCCTGATGATGTACGCCTCTCCGTGGTGGGCCTAGAAAGGGAATTATATTCCCTGAACCAAACGTACATCACCCAGTTAGGGCTGACCCCCCGAAGCTGGTTTTTCACTGGGTTACTAACAGCCAAGAAGAGTATAGTCTTTCACTTCCGCAGCCCAGTCAGCCTTCCTCCGGTAGTCAAACCAACCTTACTGGAGATGGGACTTGCCCCAGGGGAAGGCACAGAACCCGGCCAAGAATATCTTGGTCAAACCATCTCAAATCCACACTACTAGAGTGTGCGAAAGCGACAGGATGGCCTGATAATCCACGAATAAATGGCAAGTCGCTTAAGCTGCATTGGGACAATGCCATGCCCATGTATGCTTACCTGACGGAGCAAAATCTTCGAGATCAATTCCGGCGTCTTAAAAATCTCTTGCCCCGTGAGCCAGTTCAACCCACAACTGGTGCCCGTCAGGAACCTTTGCATGAACAGAATGCTCAAGTGGCAGCAGACCCGAAACTTGTAATGGACGTCCGTGTCAACCTCTTTCCTCTTGCTGATGGAAACTCTTCCGACAAAGAGCTAATTGGCCCCGAAATGTCGGACCCTCACTCTTCCTCTTCCTCAGTTGCAGATCTTTCCGAAAATCCTGTGTATATTTTGTTTCATTCCATTTATGATGAAATATCTGGCATACCTTTAGAAAATCGGAGGCCAATTAAACAAACAAATGAATCTTTTCCCAAAAATGAAATCAATTTATTAAATGATATTATTTCTATGAAACTTTCATCGGACTGTTCATTACATGAAGTTAATTGTTGTGTCTATGCTGCCGCTCGAACCTTGGAGGAAATTCACACAGTTTCCAAAGAAAAAACATCTAACACTAAGAACAATACACCAAAGAAAAACCGGTTTCAAGTAAAACTAACGGAAACTAGAAAATACATTTCCTGGATAGAACTGTGCCTGAAGTTAAGATCATCAGGGAGTCCAATGTCAAAACGGCAAAAGGCAATTTGGAGAAAATTAAAATACAATACAAGACAACAAAAGAAAAGGTACTTCTCCAAATTGTCGATTCCCTTAAGGCCAAAATAAAGGTTTGGACTGAAAGAAAGAAAAAATGGGAAAAGAAAAATAAATTCATCAAACAAAATAAACTTTTTAGAAATAATGAAAAGCACTTCTACAGGCAACTGAAAACAAAGGGTGATGGTGAACATGACAAACGGCCTCCCATGGATGCCAATGAAAGGTTCTGGAAACAGTTGTGGTCTGTACCCGGCAACTGTAACCTTGAGGCACCATGGGTCCGTGATTATGACCATGCAATGCATGAGAAAGTAACTAGGTCGTTTGTCTGTTACATCTCACCAGATTGCCTGAAAAGTGTTATAAAAAAGTCCAAATCTAATACAGCTCCAGGGCCTGATGGCATTCGAAACCGGTATTGGAAACTGTTCCCCTGTGTCCAAACACCATTACTACACTGTTTCAATACTCTCGTGGACACAGGTGATGTTCATCCATGGTTCTGCAAAGGTCGCACAATACTTCTCCCCAAGAAAGGAGACTTGACTGATCCCAAAACTTCCGCCCTATCACATGTTTGAATACACAATACAAAATATTCACAGGGTGTTTGACAAACCTCGTGTCATCTTACTGCTCTTCCAATGATATCATTTACAGAGAGCAGAAGGGAGCAAGAAAGGGATGTTGGGGGTGCAAGGATCAACTTCTTGTACAGAAAATGATTTTGGAAGAGGCTAAAACTTATCACTGCAACCTCTCCATGTGCTGGATTGACTACAAAAAAGCATACGACTCTGTCCCTCACGAATGGATTCTGAAGTCTCTTCATTGTATTGACCTCCCGGAGCGACTACTTGATTTACTCAAGTCTTTGATGAGTTGCTGGTCGACTCAACTTGAGATGTACTCGCTGGGGCAGGTGCAGACTTCGGAATCTATTCCAATCAGAAGGGGAATATTTCAGGGGGATTCCTTTAGTCCTTTGCTTTTTTGTCTGTCTTTAAATCCTTTGAGCTTTCTGCTCAATAAAGAGGAGGGTTACCATTCCGGACCTCCTCAGCACAGATCCCCAACACCTCTTACTCATCTCCTTTACATGGATGATATCGAGCTCCTTGCCAAAGGAGATACTAATTTGAAAGAGCAGGTTCTCCTTGTCGTGTCCTTTTCTAATGATATTGGCATGACATTTGGACTCGACAAATGTAATACTCTTCATTTGAAACGTGGCAAGGTAACTAATGATGGATCGGTCAAGTTACAAGGGGGAGGCATTATTGAGCATCTTGTGGAAGATCAGGCCTACACCTATCTTGGAATGCAAGTTCGAGATAAGCTCCAGAATGCCCAGATTCAAGAAAAACTTCGGGCCGAGTACAAATCTCGTTTAAAGAAAATCTGGAGCTCAGAGCTAAATGCTCGAAACAAGGTCAAAGCCACCAATACTTTTGCTGTGCCAGTCCTCTCCTATTCCTTTGGAGTAGTTGATTGGACGAAACAAGACATCCAGAGTCTTGACCGCCTGACCAGAAGGATCATGTCTGATAACAGAGCCCACCACCCTCGTTCCTCTCTTAACCGTTTATATATGCCAATCAATTCTGGAGGTCGGGGTTTGATTAATGTGGAGGCTCTTCATGACAGAATTTTATTGTGTACTTTTGCACATATTTATTTATCAGATGATCCTCTGGTGATGCATGTGAAGACTCATGATGAAAGCAAGGAATTCCACAGCTATTTTAAGCGTGCCAAAGTTGTTGGACAGAATCTGAAATTTGAGGTTGAGTTTGCTGATGGCGATGTACTGCTGGACGGTACAGCGATGGGAGTAAACCAGGTGAAGTCCTTCACCAAGTCTGCCCAGAGTCGGTCTTTTGTGGAGAAGCTTTCTGAGAAGCCATTGCATCGTGTGTACATGCAGTGTGTTGAACAGAATAGCAATCCCTCCGACTCCTTCGCCTGGATGAAGTCGGCTGGTCTTAAATGTGAAACTGAGGGCTTCCTTTTTGCTGCTCAGGACCAGTCACTTCCCACTCGTAATCGCCTAAATGTGATTCTTAAAGAGAATATTAACATGAAATGTCGACTTTGCAATGAATTCACAGAGACTGTCCAACACCTCGTCAGTGGATGCCCTTCCTTGGCACAAACAGCATATCTTAAACGACATGATGGCATGGCTCGTTGCTTTTACTACCGTCTCCGACATGCCTGTGGCTTTGACTCCGAGGTCCATCCATGGTACGACCCTGAACATGTCCAGGGCGTCATGGAAAATGATGCTTTCAAACTTCTGTGGAATAGGCCCATATACAGCCTCAGAAGAATTCCTGCCAACAAACCTGATCTTGTCCTTTTTGATAAAGCCAATGAATTTATATATATATCATTGAATTTTCTGTCCCTTTTGACAGGAATGTGATTGACAAGATTCAGGAAAAGCATGATAAATATGCGGACCTCGCCTTTGAAATGTCTCGCTTGCATCCCAAGTACACTGTCGCCAGGCTCCCCATTGTTCTCGGTGCCCTTGGTTTGGTACCTCCTGATCTCTTGGCGCAGATCAGGAGAGTGCCCGGGTTCTCCACCGGGAGTACAGCCCTTCTGACACTCTGGGTAATGCAGAAGGCTGCAGTGTTGGGGAGCCTTCATATTCTCCGGAAGGTTCTTGGTGGGTTTGACTAGGCAGCGTTTCCTGGGAGAAGTCCCATTCGCTGTCTGGGCTGCGTGTAGAGGGGGCAAGGGCCCTGAGCTGATGATGAGCCTTACCAGCCTGACTGTGCCAGGATCACCCGAACCCTCTCTGCTGCATACAATCTTTAATCTGTAAAACATAATAATAATAATAATAATAATAATGGATATTTTTAGCGCGCCATTTTCCACCCACTGATACATGCTCAAGGCGCTACATAGAAGCAGACATACAATGCATACAGAGGATAAAATAGTAAAATACGTATACATTGAAATTGGTGACAGAAAGATTGATTTTAGGGATAGGCTTTGGAAAAAAAGAAAGTCTTCAACTTAATTTTGAAAGTTCCAATGTGGGAGACTGCTTTATGTGGAGAGGGAGAGAATTCCACAGAGTAGGACCAGCGTACTGGAAAGACCTCTTGCCAAAGGAAGAAAGGAGAACTTTGGGAATGGAGAGAAGACATTGGTCTTGAGATCTGAGAGTTCTGGTAGGGGAGTACACAGTGAGAAGTTTAGAGAGATATCAAGGAGCATATGTCATCGGTTCCCAATTGCGCAGATCGATGCTCATGCTGTTGATCACTTGATTATCTGGTATAGACCACCGCAATATTGCTGGAATATTGCTGAGTGCTCACTCTCTCTCTCTCTCTCTCTCTCTCTCTGAGTACACTCGCGCGCGCACACGCACACACATACATAAATGTGAGAAACAATTTCAGCAAATGGTTTCGATGACGAACAGGATCTAACAGAAGCGTCATTGAGCACAGGCGCAGTACAGCACTATATATCCTCCTGTATATGTACAGTCGTATATTTCCTCCAGACATTCTTCACCAATGGCGTTTAATGTCAACGGTTATAGGTGAAATGCGTTATGTTTTCAGACTATTCCTGAATAAATTCAAGGAGGAAATATACCAACACACTTACGGTGATTTTACCAGAGTTTTAAAAGTTTTTAAATGCAATTATTCACAATTCTAACAGAGGACATTTTGGGGGCAAAATCTGTAGAAATCTGTGAATCTCTTAGACTGGTTCCCATTTATTGCTAGGACAGACTGGAACTTTGTTGGTTCTCGGCTACCACAGTGCGCTGTATTATCGTATATTGCAATATGAGAGACGGGACCCAGCTTTGGACGATCGAGTGCAGCGACACCAAGCGGAAGATCCAGTCTGCGAATAAAAATGGCCACCATGCAAGAAGATTTTGGAGATTTCTTGCCCAATGATGATCGGTCATGTGCGGCAAATACCAAGTGTCAGGCAAGAGAGATCGATGCAGTTTGTGCATTAGGTAATGTACCATCATAGTCTAACGATTTAGATTGATAAGAATGTTTAACACCGGTTTCTGCAAGAGCTGAATTATGAGCTGACAGTGACAGGCTGATATGGCACTGTTGTCTTCCTTAGAGTGAGAAGTGAGCTCACAAGAGAAGACGTATTTTTGATAAGTGGTAATCACAGTTCTTGCTGTATATATAAACTTGAACATTGTGCTGTATGGACTCGAGTTGTAATTTTCTATCAATTGTCTGTTCGTGTATTTTGGTACCCGACGGTGTCGATAGTTGCAGGTGACATGTGTTTCGCCCTGTCACCTGTTTTCGTGAGTATCCTATCTCGTGGTACTCTTTCACAGGTTTCGCTGCCTGGGATGTGAGGGTGAGGCTTATATCAGGTAAGGCTAGGTTATCCAACCCTTATCATTATCCGTAAGACCCTTTCTCTTATCAAACAGCTCTGGGCCAAGAATACTTACCCACTTGCCGCATGGGTACCTGGCTGGCTAGGTGACTCACATACAAGCTGCCTGGATGACAGGACTGGCTAGGCAGTGACTAGCCAGGTAACTCATTCAGGTAACTCAGGGGTAGGTGACCCACACCTTGGCTGGTTAGGCAGGTGACTCTCTCATTGGCTGTCTGGGTAGGTGATTCACTGGGTTAATCGTTAATTCTGATGTGTAGTTTGAGTATAATCATGTACAATTAGGATTGAGAATTCAGGCAAATCGGGGTTGAAGGATATCTTTCCCTGTTTGAAACAAATGCAGCTGTTCAACGTTACCCCATGTAGGACAAGATAATATTTGCTTTACACTTGTTTCAGGTCCTGCCTAATCTAAACAGTTGGACACAAAGCTTAAGAGATGCACAAATGCAGTACTAGGCAGTCAGCCACCCAGTGCCATCCAACCTTGACTTTGAACCAGTGAGAACTCTTCAGCACGAACCTGGGTAACTGTGTGACAGGGCACATGTATTGCATGTGGATGGGTTACACTGCTGGTTTGGTTTAGGGGTGTGTTAACTCTTTAGTACTCAACCCAGTGACTAACTAAGGTAGCTAGGTGACAGGGCACATGTATTGCATGTGCATGGGTTAAACTGCTGGTGAGGTTTAGGGAATGGGTTAACTCTTTAGTACTCAACCTAGTGACTATCCTAGGTAGCTAGGTGACAGGGCACATGTATTGCATGTGCATAGGTTAAACTGCTTGTTGTATTCAGGGATGTGTTTCGGCTTAAACCACCTTCAAGTTGCTGTTTCTGTTGTTTTCAAGTTGTTGTGCATTTTTCCAGATTCCTAGGATCAACCAACAAGTGTGACATGGGCATTAACTACCTGTTCTTATCACACTGTAAACATACACTCCCCAAATGACACTTCTCTGCATACCGGTATTCATATTACCAGCCACAAAAGAAACCGCATTGTTAAAATTCTTTCTAAACTGAGCTATAAAAGTTTCCGTATGAACTTTTATAGGTGGATACGGAGATCATAACAGATGGGCAGAACAGCATGTATAATGTACATTGAGTCCAAATGCAGGGAATGTCACAAACTCAGTAACGGCTAGGTGAGCTGTAAGAACAGCAGTGCATTGCCGATGCATAGAGTAGATCAAATGGGCATGGAAGGTCTGTGGAATGGCTTGCCATATGCTTGGCTACTTTGCTGCCAAATGGTGATCATATGTCAATCTCATGCCATACGTTATACAAGGGATAGATCCAGTGAATTTGCAGCAGGCTAAGGCTGTACTTGAACATTGTTCTGTTAAAGACAAGCCATAGCTACCTTGCCAGGTGAGGTGGGCCATTGTCCAGTTGGAATGTCAGTGCTGGGCCATGAACTTGACAAAAACAGAAATGACACTGGTCCCACTATCAGATGACTGTAGCCCAAATCTGTCAAATTGCTCTGAACAACTGTTGGGGTGGATACGCTGTGGTCCAGGAATGGTGTGAATACTGGTGATTGATGTCTGGAACCTGTGCCATATATAGATGGGTCAGTTGTATGTGCTCTCTTAGCGCTAAGATAGTCGTAAGTTAATGTTAATGTATGGCACTTACGACTATCTTAGCGCTAAGAGAGCTTCGAAAATATAGGCCCTGGTTTATATGTAGTTTTGTTTAAGGATACCCAGGCCTGTGTCAAAGTGGGATAACATTTTCAGGGTGACTTGTGATAGCTTAAATGAAAGGTAAGGCATTGTACTTTATTGCAAAAATTTTTGGGTCCACAATCTACTCATAGTATTGACACCAGCCTTCCTTGATTTGACCCCAAGTTCAAGGCTGTCTAGTGTGTTTCGGCTCGTAACTTCCGGTGACCATTGTTTACAGTGGATACAGCAAAATAGACATGGTCGATCCAGGCTCATATTTTGCCGATTAAGTGACAAGTGGCAGGTTGGTCAGCATGCAACACAGCCTACAATCGATATTAATTATGGTGCACTGCCATGTCACTGTAGATAGCAAAGAAGGAAAATAATTGTGGTCTGAGGCCTGATATGGTGAAGGTAGTGCAAGTGTTTAATTTGCTATATGTCTGTTATTTTCAAAATATTCACTTGAAACTTTGCATATTTACTGACAGGAACATTTGAAATATGTATACATGTGTTTTTAACTGAAAATATTTTTTTTTTACATTTTTTTATGAATTTATTTCAATTTTCTGATTGCATATTGTTTTGGTAAGTGAGCGGATGCATCAAATTTAGTCAGATTGGTTCCATTATGGTGAATGTATGTATCATTACGCCGCACGTGCCTTTTAGATGCATGTGATACCTAAAATGGCTAATATTCAAGCCTTTTTCAAAAGATATAGAGCCAAGTTTGTGAAGAATTCAGTCCTCAGTGAGGAAAATGGCATCTGTCATATGTGGACTGGAGCATGCAAGCACAGTGGGTATGGGGTATGGAGGTATTTTTACCCCATAGCCTACCAGTGGCGTACTACTCATGCTCACAGGCTGGGTTTCATAGTACACAGGGAAAACTTCGACATAGGTGATTACGACATCAGCCATTTGTGCCACAACAGTAAATGCACCTATGTCGAACACCTGTCTGCTGAGCCACACAGCATAAATGCAGACAGAGTGGCCTGTGTAAACAGGGGTGTGTGTAAAGGCCATGGACCTTTCCCAGATTGCCTTTTGGCATTGAAGTTATAGGAGAACAGAAAAACAAAGGCAAAGTATATGAAAAAATACTAATTTTTCCTTATCCTGACTCATGCTATTTGCTTGTCTTCTTCTTCTTGCGAACATAGTGGAACACTTGTATCTCCCACTTGAAGTTCCCTTCAATGTAAAATCACTAATTAGTACTCACGAGTTATCTGTCCCCTCAAAAGTGCGGGAACTAGGGCGCCACCTCCTGCCATGTGCCTCACTCTCTCCTTCTTCGCCCAGTGAGCAGGACGTGAGAGCGCCTGTGTCTCCCTACACACTATATCCTTTATTTATATTTAGTTCTTTCCCACTTATAATCATCTATAGAGGTGTAACTAGTATCCTTATACAACATGCATTGATATTTATTCGTGTTTCTGCTGCTTTATTCACGGTCCGCCATGTTTGCTCAGCAGATTGGGTTAATAAAAAATCTGCACTGTTTGTAAATTACGTTTCTCTGCTGCTGATCCGCATTTAATATGCTCTAGTTGTACTACGCCATGCTCTACTGTTTCACGTTGCAATTTGTGTATTAAATTGTCTAATTCTGCCTTTGATAAATATTTATATTGCGTCTTGAGACATGCAGCAGATAGATCTCGGAAACAGTCTTCAGTCATGGCTGATAGATCAGAGTCAGATATACCCTGTCAACTGTTGGCGGACGACCCTCTACCGTCTGGTGTTCCGCTTGAGTTACCTTCGGGGGGAGAAGCGTGGGACGCAGTCTGCTATATCCAAGAAGCGACCTGGATCCCAGGACATCCCGTCGTCCCAGTCTAAGAAAAAACTTTTCATCTGACATTCTTCCTGTTTCAGAATTGTGCTCATATGATGACGATATACCGATTATCATTCCAGATGTATGGCATAAGAAGCGACCAGTATCGGCTACCGTCACTTCAGCACAAATCAACACGCAGCCAGAGATGACTACGCTGACGGCAGAGATTCTACCTGAGGGTCCCGTCGCTACCATAGAGAGGGCAGCGTCAACATCAGCGCAGACCGTCCCAGACGACCTGGTCAACCAGATTATGATGCTGATGGAAGACCCATATGGTTTACAGAGGCCTCAGAGCCGCAGGCCCCAGAGCCCAACCCATTTAAAGTCATGTAGGGCCCCAGAGCCCGTTATGACTTCGCGTAGGGCCCCAGAGCCCACAAACGCGCCTCCACGAAGGGCAACCCAGCCCGTATCGAAACCTTCGCGAAGGACGTCCCAGTCCGCCTCCACGAAGGACCTAGATCCTCACCATTCGCGAAAGGCTTCATGGAGGAGGAGTGCTTCACCGAGCTCAGACCCTGAAGAACACAGAGAGGTCGTTCGCGAAGCAAGCTCCTATCTAATGATTCGGACTCAGACTCGCTACCTTCGCGAAGGCCTTCATGAAGGTTAAGTGGCTCCAAGTCATCTTCATTCAGAAGATCTATCAGGGATTCACCGAGAGCTTCACGAAGGCACCATCGTTCGCCAAGGAAGTGTCCAGTCTCCCTATAGAAGCCACTCGTCAGTTCGTTCAAGACATCTTCGTTCTATAGTTGTCGGGGGATTCATTAGGACCTTAGCGAAGCTACAGGTCACCCTACAAACACAGTTCGTTGGGCTATTCACCACGTCGATCCCCTCGACGATTTACACACAAGTATCCAGCGAAGCAGAGACATCGTAGTACTTGTTTATCAACTGTATGCCACATGCCATCTACAAGCCTATGCGAAGGCCTTCGCACAGGCTATTTACAACGCAGAACGTCGCTGTATTATTTTATCAACAGAACGCTATATGTCATTACCGAGCCTGCGCGAAGGTATTCGCGCAGACATCCACAAGACAGAGATGTCGCAGTACTTAACTTTTTAACTTGAACGTTATATAGTTACGTTACGCGAAGTACTATTTACAGATGAAGAGCCTAATTAAGGATCTTCAGGCCGACTACCTACATCAAGGGCATCAACGACGTTTCGCAGATAATCACAGGAATCACCATTTCCGTATATATTGCTAGGTATGCAATCCCGGACTACGATACGATTATCTACATGCAAGGCGCCATACAGTCACACCAAGTTGACCACTACACAGATCTGCAGACAATTCAATAATGGAATTGAGCAGCAGCCTTGTTACAGCGAGTAAAACACATAATCGTCAACGATTTCCTGAGAAGAAATATGTACAACAAGTTCAACATTAATTCGACAATTATGACGCTACATTGATGTATTCAGTCTACAAGCTGACAACTTGCAAGTTTTATTGAGCCTATATTATATAAAGAAGTCGGCATTATCTTCAAGACTGAAGTTACATTCACAGCAGCCAGGAAAATAACCTACCCAGCATTAATATTACAGGGCGAGGTAATTCGCGACGAAAGATTCGCGCGTTTACCATTAAGCCTCGAAACACGTGGTCACTCGTGTTACTTCGGGAAGTTACGGACAAGACAGACAATTGATCTAATATCAACGACGGCACTAAATTATACAAGGTTCCTTTTCCTGCTACACCGGTGACATCACAGCGCGGGTACTCTACAGAATCAAAATGCCTTGTTCTGATTGGACCGAGGTCGATCATAGTTCACAGTTCAAGACATAGGTTGCAAGTGACAACAACATATCAGTGAACGAGCAAAGCCTCCATACAGTCCAGTTAAACTGAACCTTCATGATTGGGCTGCCTTCATGAGGTTAGAGACCTCCCTGTCAAGTAAGGACGAGGGCATGGCAGTCAGGCGATTTTTTACATAAAGTTCAACAATGGCAGTCACCCCTGGTTGTTCACCTACATCGTTAAGGACTTCGCAGCGCGTTTTACCCCGACGACGGGATACAAGTGGATCCAGATCCACAGCGTCTCAGACTACAGTTGAACTTCATCATCAAGCTACTAACACAACTAGGATGGTTAGTAAATCTACTTAAGTCGGACCTAGAACCTACGCAAGATCGGCAATTTCTAGGTATTTGATTTGTAACGGCGCAGAATCGTATAATTGTACCGGAGGACCGATGGATCAAGATCTCCGCTACCACTACGACAGTGGCAGAGCCTGTTGGGGTTACTCACGTCAGCTCAAGACATGACAGTCAGAGGCAACTACAATTACGTCGTTACAAGTCATCATCAATTCGCATCTCGACGACTCTCTACCGTTCAGTCTACCTGATCACGTCAAACCTCACCTACTATGGTGGACCAAGAGATCGAATGTTTGCGTAGGCGTCTCTTTAATAGAGCCGGAATCGAAAACACATCTCTACGTAGACGTGTCACTACAAGGTTGGGGAGCCCATCTCGCCAACAGGACAGCATCAGGGCTATGGAGCAATCAATAGAGTAAATTACACATAAATCTGCTAGAGATGCAAGCAGTGGTAAACGCCATAATGCACTGGAGCAACTTACTACAGAATGCTCAGTTGATGATTCACACAGACAATTCGACAGTTGCGTTTTATGTGAACAAACTAGGCTCAACCAGGTCCCAAACCTATTGACTCTATGTTTTCAATTGTTCGATTTAATCGACAATCTCAACATACATGTCAGAGCATGTCACATTCCAGGAGCAAAGAATGTAATAGCACACACTCTCTCTCGGCCACACCTACCATCGCCGACAGAATGGATGCTCCATACAGAGATATTCACTCAAATTATCAAGGAAATAGGAACTCCACTAATAGACCTATTTGCCACTCGATTCAACAAACAACTGACAACATTCGTATCGCCAGTTCCAGACCCACTAGCATGGGCAACAGACGCACTAAGCATATCGTGGGAAGGACTCAACGTGTACGCTTTCCCGCCACCAGCGTTAATCCCACAAGTCTTACTCAAAATCAGTCAAACACAGAGCTTCCATCTGATTTTGGTCGCGCCCTACTGGCCAGCGAGAACGTGGTTTCCAACTCTTATTCAAGGAATCGGACAACCAATACTACAACTTCCAGAGTGTTCGAATCTGTTAATACATCCGCACACCAAACAAGCGCACGGAAAGCCAGAAATATTCCAACTTCACGTATGGATTGTATCAAGGCGTGTCTGAATAAGAGAGGTTATTCAGCCAGAGCGGCAAAAGCAGTCACGCTTGCCCTGCGTAGCTCAACTCGCAACTTATACGATGACAAATGGCACAGTTTTGTCAATTATGCTGCAAAGGAAGGATTTACAGCAAGATATGCTACTCATCCTCAAGTGGCTGACTCCTTATGTTATCTACATCAGACTAAGAATCTAAAAGGCTCAACTTTGTCCACTTATCTTGCAGCAATAAGCTCTGTCATAACTATGAGAACGGGCGTCAAGTTAACCAAAACCCCAGAGTTACTCGCCTTGCTACGAGCATTCCGATTGGAGGATCAAAAACGGAAGTTTCACGCTCCAGCTTGGGATCTGAATATAGTGCTCCAACACCTCACAAGTGAGGCTTATGAACCGTTAGAATCTACATCGTTTGAATCTCTGACTCAGAAAACCTTGGTCCTGTTATCTCTAGCTACGGCTGCCAGGATGTCAGAGATTCCTGCATTGGATTACGAGAGAACACGCTTTGATGATATTCATAACATCGTGTATCTGGGACTACGCTGGGATTTTATCGCCAAGAACCAATTGCCAGGTCAACCAGACAGATTATTCCACGTCCTAGCTCTCTCATCTATACTTGGACCTCATGATACGATGGATCTATCACTATGCCCAGTAAGAGCACTGAAAGTAAGCTCAGTACTATGTTTATATCATAAAAGTATATTAGCTAACAAACTCTACGGAGTTTTTGCTATCATATTAACAAGCTTAAGTCTATTAGTCTTAAGCCTAGGATTTATGTTGTATATACTGTATCATAATATTTATATTGTAATAACCCATATATGGCAGCTGATAAGTTAACAGCAGGAATTCATCAATTCAGTGCCTTTATGAAGTTCCCATAAGGGTTGTTACAATAATTACAGTACAAATCACTAATTATATAAATCCAAAGTATTCTGTATTCCCACCTCCGTATCCGTCGGATTCTACAAGCAAATAGCATGAGTCAGGATAAGGAAAAATATGTAATTTTCTGAAAACATTGATATTTTATACTTATCCTGACTCATGAGGTAAGCCCTCCCATCCTCCCCACATAACACTTTGGATTTCCCTGAAAATTCAAGTGTTGGGCTCAGTATATGAGGAGAGAGTGAGGCACATGGCAGGAGGTGGTGCCCTAGTTCCCGCACTTTTGAGGGGACAGATAACTCGGGAGTACTAATTAGTGATTTTACATTGAAGGGAACTTCAATTGGGAGATACAAGTGTTCCACTATGTTCGCAAGAAGAAGAAGACAAGCAAATAGCATGAGTCAGGATAAGTATAAAATATCAATTTTATTCAGAAAATTACATTATCATATGACATAGTAAAATTATATTCATATTTCCTGATTTTCGTCAAAGTCACAGTTGGTTGTGACATAGCACTTATTCACAACACATAGCTTTAGAGACATTATGATGTATTTAAACTTAAAGTTACACAGTATCTGTCTTGAGCAAGTAATTAGCACATACAGTTCTGCAGCATCACTGCACATTTTCAATATTTTGAATAAGAATGTTCATGGTTTTTGCTGAAACACGGTACAGGGTCTAACTGACCCTTTCTGTAGTCCCCACTCTGCTTGTCAGTCTGTTTAGACTTCAAATGTTCACAGATCTTGCTTCCATGCTGTGTAAGTTTCCTTTTCACAACACTGGGGCTTTTCTGATAGTCTTTGTGATAGGTAGCCTCCTTGTCCATTTGTTCAAGTGACCGCACAGCTCGGCTTGAAAGTTTCACCCCAGAATGGTCGCACTTGTCGATTGCTGATGTCCCAGGGCCATTGTTGAGCCTGTGAATTGTGGAAGAAGCCCTCCCAATCATGTTCCTTGAAAAGTTTACATTCTTTGGCAAAGAAATACTCAGTGATCGATTGGCAGCTTCACATTTCTGTGTGTCTGTGTACAGTTTCATTTGTTCCACCACTTGTACACTTAACTTCATTTTGAGAATTTCATTAAGCAAGTGTTTATCATTGACATCCATATTGAAATGAGTGATACTGTTGCAGCCGAGGAACATGGATCGCTGCCACCAGCTGTTTGTTACACCTCCTCGACACACAACTGAGTACCGGGCACACCTGGAGCAGTCGCCTCTGTAGCACTTGAGGGTTGCTTCGAGCACTCTTGGTAAGATACTACGAACTGTTTTCATGTCACCTGCATGATCTTTCATGAGTTCTTTTAGTATCAGGCTGCACCGTGCTTTGACATCCTGGCTCAGCACCTTCTTTGCTTCCATTTTATGTGTACGAGTAGTGCCGGGGAACATATCTGGGTTAAAATCAGCTCTGTAACATTGTCGGAACTGTCCTTGAGCCAAGTGGGTGGGGTCAGCTAGCCTTTGCACCTTCCACATTGGGTCCAACACTTTGAGAGCTTTGTCTACTCCATCTGCAGACCTTAAACCCCATCGGTTGTGGCATACTTTATGAGTACACCCTGTAGTGCGCGCTGATTACCAATGTCCTCTCCCATTTTGAACTCAGAGAATGGAGTGAAGGCCGACATGTTCGCAGTACAGTCTGGGTGCCCCCCTGGACATTTCACATCCATGCCTTTTCCTTTCAGCCAGGCACAAGTCCAGCAGAGCTTATTCTGGAATGACGCACCGATGATGAACTTCTTGTCAGTAACAGTTTCGCAGGCGATGCCGATTGCTTGTGATGCATTCTGCCCTGGCTTCTTCCTGCTTGCTATTGTCATCGAGTTGTATCGGCCATCCATTGCAATGTTCATTTCACATGACTTTGTACCCCTCTTTCGATTAACTTCCTTCACTAACTCCACCTTTTCGGCCATATCCTTAGTGATAAGTTCAGTTACAGCCTTAGCCACCTTGTTGGAGGTCCTCTGCATACTGCTCCTGCATGGGGGTGGAATGTCCATGTTGGCCATCAGTAACCTCGCTCTCGTATTTCCTATAGGTGTGTCCTGTAGACCCAAGGCAAGTCCCACGTTGGGTGCTGCTGGGTTTGGCCCAGGTTTACCCGTCTCGATTTCTTTGTGTAACTTCATTTCAGGTGCTACAAAGTCACATGTGACACATTTCAGTGTTATTTTCCAGCATGCTCCCCATTTTCTCTCCTTGGCTATCTGCAGCTGAGGGTCGTCACAGTCACTGGATGTTGACTGATGCAGTCGCAGAGCTGTGTTCCATGCTTCGGCCACCTTTTCATTGTCGACTGTCGCATACCCTCCAAGTCATCTTTCCTTGACTCTTGTTTCAGGTCATGCTTGCTGGTTGAAGTGGGACGCAGCAGCCTCACTGAAGTAGAGATGCCATTGCAGTCAGGTGTTGACGACAGCCCAGTGCCATCCAGCCTTGACTTGGTGACCAGGTAGAAGTCTTCTGCACTCAACTTAGTGACAGTCCTGGGTATCTTGGGTGGAGAGGCACTTTCCGACTCTTCCGATTCAAGGGTGAGACCTTTGTTCCAGGGAGTATGGCCTTTGCTGAACTGTGACTTGATTCTCTTGTGGTCGCCTTTCATCGTGATTGTGTCGAATAGAACTAATGAGCTCTGAGCACAGCATCTACCTACATATCCCATCTCTGTGTGTTGTAACTGGCACTGACAAGCAGGTATATGTATAAGAAAATGTATTGGAAACTCAAGACATACACATGTCTTGTGCCACTGGTGTATATCGCAGTTGAGCCATACACAACTACTGACACTTTGTCGTGTATTGGTCAGGTGTCAGGTGAGAGTGGTCACGCTTGGTGACTCGCTGCACCTGATTGGCTGAACACAGCTACTTGAGCAGCCAATCAATTTAACGGGGAAAGATAGGGCTTTCTAATGAATAAAAATTTAACAGTTTCAATTTTCATTTTTTTGAAAAATATGAACTTTAATGGAATTATTTTAGTATAAAATGCATGTATGTATATAAAAATAGAATTTTTTTTGAAAAAAATGCTTTAATGGACTGAAACCAGTGTCCTTTGATAGCACATGCAATAACAAAAGAGGAACACTTGATGTTTTTGTCAATTTCCACCTGGTTATGGAGTTATAGACAAATTAGAATTGTGTTTGAAATTAATTCATGCCCAAAATTAACACTCAAATGCCAGAGATACAGCATGGAGTAAAGGGAGTATAAGTAAAGTTGTGTATGAGTTAGGGCTTTCAAATATTCTGTGAGCCTTACATGGTGTCTGGGCTTAGTATTGATGAAGTTTGATTTAATTTGCAGACTTTTTGGTGTCCTGATAGGCCTCAGACCAAAGTTACCCCCCTTAACTTTTACCATGACCCGGAAGTAAAATATGAGAATATAGTGCCTTGTTTAAATGGGCTGTTCTGCTTGTGCTAATTTTTTCAGGGTGACTTGTGATAGCTTAAATGAAAGGTAAGGCATTGTACTTTATTGCAAAAATTTTTTGGTCCACAATCTACTCATGGTATTGACACCAGCCTTCCTTGATTTGACCCCAAGTTCAAGGCTGTCTAGTGTGTTTCGGCTCGTAACTTCCGGTGACCATTGTTTACAGTGGATACAGCAAAATAGACATGGTCGATCCAGGCTCATATTTTGCCGATTAAGTGACAAGTGGCAGGTTGGTCAGCATGCAACAGGAGAACAGCCTACGACCGATTTTAATTATGGTGCACTGGCATGTCACTGTAGATAGCAAAGAAGGAAAATAATTGTGGTCTGAGGCCTAATGTGTGCTGAGTGTCTGTAAAAGAAACAATACATGGTTGTGTGGGGTATTCAAGCCAATGGATAAGGAGGGGGGAGGGTGGATAATTTGAAATATTAGGTGCAGAGTTATTTCCTTTGATTGTGACAGATTCATGGATCCGCGCATCTTCGCTAAGCCCCGCCCCCTTGGATACTGTCGCGAGGCACCCCACGCTTTCTAACAAAATGGCCGCCGCCGAGCAAAGCAATTGTCTCGCATGCATTCCTGAAAACTTTTCTGTGTCCTTTTTACCGATTGCTGATCAAATATCGACCAAGAGCATGCAAAAGGGACTTAATTATTACCAGCAAGGCTACATTCATGAGGTGACACTTCAGTTTCCGACCGTATCCGCCAAGTGTTGGCCATCACTCAGGAAAAACAACTCGCCTCATCGACTGTCACTTGACCTTGATGTCGACCGAATCAAATATGCTTATTGCTCTTGTAAAGCTGGGTAAGTTGCTATTTTCGCAGATGATTTTATACCTGTTACAAAAATGTGTGCGTACGATTTTAATTTATTGTGATACATAGTACAGCCAATCTTGAAAGGGTCTAGAACGTGGAGGCCAGACTCGTCAATGTCAAAATACCGTTTGGTTTTAATTATTGTGAGAGGCCCTAAATCAAATGTTGTTTATGAAGTTTTAGTCATTTCTAATAATAAAATTCTCAAAGTGAATTAATGCAAATATACCACAATTTTTGTCCAGCATTTTCCCAATAAATCCATGCTTGAAGAAAATCTTAAATATTAGGTTAGAACATTATGGTCATGGCATTATTTATTAGAACCGGTCTACTGAGTATCAAGTAAACAAGGTAAACTATAAAATCTACTCATAATCTGCTAAATAAATTTGATCTTTGCTATTTCTCTTTCAGATTAAGTGGGAAGTGTTCCCATATAATAGGTCTGATCAAGACATTGCAGGGATTCAAGCTCCACAACTTCAAAGAAATTCCATCTGATTTGAGTTCCACATCCATGCCACAACAATGGAACAAGCCAAGGGGAGACAAAATCTTGCCAGTGCCTATCAGCCAGGTTGTGGTTGCTGGACCAACTGAGCAACGCAAGCGGAAGCCAATACAATGCCACACCAACATGAATTACAAGTATAGTTTTATTCTTATTTCATCAGACATTTTGCTAAAATTGATAATTCAAGATATCCATGAAACATATGTACATTTTTACTTGATTATAAGTTAAGAATGAATGATAACTGCCCTTATGTATCAGAATGAAGGAATTCTCTATTCATGATAGAAAATCTGCATTTTTAATGATGTGTAATTCAAGTTACAAACAACTGTAAGATGATTTTTTGTATATGATCTCAGGGATAGAAATACTTTTTGTTCTAAGTGTGCCTTAGGGCACCAGACAAATATTTTAGGTGTGCCTTTCAGAAATCGAGTATGCCCACATGTTTTTAGAATAAATGACAATGATCATGATCATTTGAAATTTATTGTTTGATAAAGAAATGGGTTTATGGGCATTTTAATATGTATGGTATTATTCAATTATGAAAAAAATAATTGTTTTGGGGATTAAATGACTAAATGTGAGTTATGTCTCTTAAAAAATTAGGCGTGTCAAAAGGGCACAGAGAACATTTTTTAGCCGTGCCATTTTTGTATTTACCGTGCCATGGCACACTAATATATGGGGTATTTCGAACCCTGGATCTGTATGTATATCGGTGTATTTCAGGCTACCAAGGGTTGATATGGCAAGTCTTCAAACTCTACAGGGCACACCACTCCTGCATAGAACAGTACAACATGATTTGCCTTCGGTGCAAACTCCCCTGGGAGATGTGCCAACTGGATCTGCACTATCTTATCAGGTATATATCTACATATCTATGTCAAAGAGGTGCAACTAACTTAAAACATTTCAGAAGAGTTTGAAAGTTTGTTTTATTACGAGTTGCTGTATACAGTAGGGGTGTCGCGATACGCGAATGTATCGATGCATCGATACATTTTTACTGACGATACGATACGCGATACATGTTTGCGTGTATCGATTCCTATTTCAAAACTTTATCGATTCAAATTTTTATGCTATATCCATCTCCTTCAAAGTCTTGATAGTAAAATTATACGAGACTGCTCCGATAAATAGATGTAGCTAGCTTTACTTAAAAAAGAGGTTGGAAACTAACAGCTTTTGTGATTGGCTAGACTTTTTTGATGGACCAATCAGCGAGCGCGTACGTTGCCGGTAGGTAATGCTATGATGCGGGAGTCACAAAACTAAAGTGAGTGCATGGATTTCTCCACCACAGATTTTGAGACTCCCACATTCAAGTCTCATGTGTGGAAACATTTCTGTTTCCCAGTCTATTATGACGATGGCCAACGAAAAGTGAGTCGTGAAAAGACAATGTGTCATATTTGTAAGACATTGATCGGATACAGTGGGAATACAACAAACATGCAAGTCCACCTCACTAGACATCACCCGACTGTCAAGGCTGATTCTGAAAGGAAACCACTCAAGAGAACACTTGAACAGAGAACGTTGGGCTCCTTTTCACATTATGCTTTCAATTCCGAACGTCACAAGCTCATCACACGACAAATTGCGATGTTTATTGCCAGAGATCTGAGACCATTTTCAACAGTGGAGAATGATTCTTTCGTTGAACTGTTAAGAGTTCTAGAACCAAAATACAATGTGCCAGGGAGGACATATTTTACTGGAAAGGTTGTTCCTGAACTGTACAAGGAATGCAAGATGGAAGTGGAGAATGGTCTGAGAAAAGCAATAACAACAGACGGGTGGACGTCAAGGGCAACAGAGAGCTACATAACTGTCACATGTCACTACATTTCAGATGACTGGAAGTTAGTCAACAATTTCCTGCAAACCAATGCCATTTATGAATCTCACACTGGAGCCAATGTTGGAGAGATTCTGTCTGATGCAGTAAAGGAATGGAAACTGGAGAGATCTGAACCTGTTATTTGTGTGACAGATAATGCTGCCAACATGACAGTCGCTGTAAAAGAGGCCAGGTTAAAACATGTGAAATGTTTTGCTCACACCATCAATCTTGCATCCCAAAAAGGTCTCAAAGTCGACACAGTGTGTAGAGTTCTGTCAAAAGTCAGGCGAATTGTCGGCTTCTTCCACCGTAGTTCTACTGCAACTGCCCTGCTGAGAGAAAAACAAAAAATGTTGCAACTGCCAGAGCATAAGTTGATCCAAGATGTCTGCACGAGGTGGAACAGCAGTTTTGACATGATTCATAGGTTCCTGGAACAACAACCTGCTATCCTTGCTGTCCTGATTAGCAAGATGCATTTTGTGTGTGCCAGGAACATCTGTTCCAAGTGAGCGTGTATTTTCAACAGCAGGCGATATAGTCACAGCTCAGAGAGCTACACTGAGGCCTGAAAACGTCAACATGTTGATTTTCCTGAAGAAAAACCTCAGGAAGTGAAGTGATCAATGTGATGAATGATTACAATGTGTTGTGAATTCCTGTTAACTGTTGCAGTTCAAAATTCAAATAACTGTTGGTTGATTTTGTCAAATCTGACACTGGAGGCCTGGCTGAAGGCTGAATGTTTCATCATTAAAAAGTAATATGTAATAAAGCATATTTATTATTTAACAACTGTTTTCCATTGAGTCAATTGACACTAAGCTGATTGCTTAGTATTGCGAAGTATTATTTTTCATTTTATGTGTTTTTTGTGACACAGTATAAGATCAGTGATATTACTTGTGACTTATTCAAAGTTTATACTTGACAGTCTTACTGCCAGTTGCTGGTACAGATCATTTATTTATTTTTACTTAGAAACTGGAGACAATTGGAAGTGTTATTTCCACAGTTACCAAATTTACCCTGATAAGATTGATACATTTTATTTTATCATGAATCATGATGATAATGATGACAAGAATACCTGTCAAGTTGGATATATAAACGGGAACCTTGTGACTTGAGTTATTAGCAAAACTAACATGATTGTTACAAGAATTTATTAGTAAAGTATCTCAGATTTACATCCCTCTTTAAGCAGCCTTACGCAAAAAGGCGCGAAAATTATGTATCGCGATACGTATCGTATCGTGACCTTAGAATCGTGATACGTATCGTATCGTGAGGTTGGTGTATCGTGACACCCCTAGTATACAGTAGTAGCTTGACCTCATTGAACAACTTAGATATGCACCATCACTTAACAAAAAACATCCCGAAATAATGTCAGGTGGCAACAAACAGACCAAATCTTGTTTATCCTTGAGAATAGAGATGTTAGAACACAATTTGACAATAATTTATATTGTTTCACCTTGTTAATAAGTCTCTCAATGTGAACTCTGTGCTTTGCCACTTTTTCTGTACATGAATTTTCTCCCATGTTGAATTGTTTTCCTGTCTTTCCTTTTGGAGGTATATTCAGTTTCAAACCTAGTTTTTCAACTTCATTCTTGATAGAAAAACCTTTGTCAACCATGATGCCATCACCTTCATTAATGTGTCCAATTTCTTTCATTGACTTAATGACATCATAAAACCCAGACTGTTCAGTGATTGCTTTATCAGATATTGAACCAGTAAATAGTTCTGAAACAAACATTAAGCTTCCATTTGGATCACATCCAATCAAACCCTTAAGAGTAGAAGAGGACTTGTAATCACTGTAGACTTGACTTTGCAAACTTACAGCACATGGGGTCTGTGTTTTGACTTCTGTCCCATCAATGATAATTAATGTTGTTGGATAGTCTCTACAGTATTTTACAGGCATATGTTGTATTATATCATCCCTGTGTGGCCATATTGGAATCTGCCCTAGCTTGAAATATAACAGATCAAGCCATGTGTTGAAAATGATACCTGCTGACTGAGGACTTAGTCCAAAGCGAACTGCAATGTCTTTAAGTCCAAACCCATGCCTTAACCGACAGAGAGTAAGCAATAATGCATCCTGAGGTTTAAGTCTCTTGATGTCTTTTCTCCCTGATGAATAATCAATGTCCTCTCCTTGGGGTAACAGAAATGTTAGTAGTGTGAGAAATCTCACATATGTAACACCTGTATAGTGTTTGAATAAGTTTTTGATTTTTTTACCCCTGGTGATCACAACATCTATGGAAAATAATGATGATTGTTGAAGCTCTCTCTGTAATTCCTCAATTGTCTTCTCATGTGATGCCACTTTGATGTTCAACTCTCGTATTTCTCTTGACTTGTCTTGTAATTGTTGCTCCAAATCATGTTTCTCTGCTGCCAGAGCTGGTATGTCCATTGCTGATATCCCTGAGACGACAAAATATTTGAATGATTTATTTATAATTTCAGATCAAACACATCAAGAATGCAACACCAACTACACACATATGTGGGAACACCAGTGTTATCTTGCCACCACCAGTGAAGCTTCCCCAGGAATTTGCTCATCTAAATGATGAAGATACAATCTGTAAGGATCCCAAATCTCTTGAAATGAAAACGCAAAGTCAGTCAAATGAACTCTGGTTTGATGAACGCAGGAAAAATCTAACTGCATCGAGTTTTGGAAAGGTTTTGTCCAAAAAAAAAAAGACCAAATCATGGCTTCTTGAACTCTATTTTCACTAGAAGAAACATAAAAGCACAATCACTAGAATATGGGAAGAAACATGAAAAAGATGCTAAGGCAAGGTACCATCAGAAATATCCAGACAGACATTTTCATGAATGCGGGTTTGTTGTAAACAATGAGTTTTCATTTTTGGGAGCAACACCTGATGGCAAGATTTGTGACAATGGTAAAAGTGGGATTGTTGAGATCAAATGTCCCTACTCAGCACGCAACATGACCATTGACAATGCTTGTGAAGCTTTAGACTTTTTCCTTCTAACTGGTAATGGTGTAACTTCTTTGAAAAGATCTCACCATCACTACGCACAAGTACAAGGTCAGTTGATGGTTACTGTGTGCAGGTTTTGTGAATTTATTGTGTTCACTTAACTGGACATGCATGTGGAGAGAATAACTCCAGATATTACTTTCATACAGTCAATGTTAATGAAACTAGCCATGTTTTACAGAGATCATGCGGTGTCCTACCTAAAGAATGCAACCACCGAGGAATAAATGAACACAGAATCTCCATATATACATGCATGTTTCATCAGTCTGTGCAGATGTGTTGATCAGGAAGTCAGTTGACTTGTTTTCTGCTTGGTCATTGGGTAGCAATATCTGAACTGAAGCAGTCGACTGTGTGGATGGCTTGCTGGTGTTTAGTCTGAAAAAAGCGAATGTATAATGTTTGACATGACTATGATGATGATTACACACTGCCATTTAGAAAGTGGTCAAATGTAACATATGTTATATTTGGGATTACACTTTCTTAGTAAAGTACAAATTCTAGTACTTTTTTTAGTTGAGCCCCATCCGGGATTTGAACTCACACCCTCAGAGTCAGGCACCTAATCGCCAGCACATAAAGAAGTCGCGGTAGCTGAATAGGTTAGGCGGCTGACTTTGTGTGCTGGCGATTTTCCTCCTCTTACAAAATAAGACAAACAGAAATACATGTCCATTGTCCAGCTATCTATATCTAATTACGCATCAGGCCTAAAAAATTACGTCGAATCAGCGATCGAGTTTCCTTTGCCAGAAATGGTTAGAAATGAATTCTCCAGATATATTATTGCTCCGATCTCGTGTTATAACAGTGAACATTCTGTATAAAACTAAGTATGCCTTTTTTATAAATATTATTTACGTGCAATAATTTTTACCTTAGAACATACAGCTTTGTGTTGATTTATTCTGGATAAATTTAGCTGCTCATGGGGACGACCGCAAGCTTTAATCCAGCGCTTGCATTTTTCTTCATTCCGTTTGACAGTTGGAAATCGGACGAAAAAACCTCCTTCCAGTCTTTCAGGGTAACGTTCGTCAGCATTGCATGTCCCCCACGCGCATCGTAATACCATTTTCTGTGCTTTTCACCACACGGTAACTAAGGACAACGGCGTTTGTTTGTGGGTAAAATATGGCGGGCGTTTGATAGCAGATCGGCACAGAATGGAAGCTTTTTTCTGATTGGTTGATACCAGCTGTCAATCAATATGCGCGGATCCATGAATTGCATAAAGTTGACTGAAGATTTGCTAAATGTACATATTGGAACCACAATTCTTTGATGCAGACTACGTTATATATGGATACTGATTTCTGGAACATGTTTGAATAAAATTATTATGGGCTGTTGTAGGAAAAGATACAAGGTGAGACACATGAGAACATATGTTCTACAGCTATTTCTGAACTAGCTTCGTCTGTTGTTTTTGTGAGTTCGTGTTAACATGGTGCATCTCAACATGCCAACTGCCCGATGAGATGAACCTTATCATGACTTGCGAACATCAGGAGGTGCCCCCAGGAGTGTTTGCCACACATACAGTAGTGAGTACATTTGGGAAGGCTCAGGTTTTGCCCTGTCACTGAAACTGAGGCTCATTTCTGAAACTCCCTCCCTAAACATCCCTGCCTCCAAGCTCGACCTAGCCCTGAAACTCCCTCCCTAAACATCCCTGCCTCCAAGCTCGACCTAGCCCTGAAACTCCCTCCCTAAACATCCCCTGCCTCCAAGCTCGACCTAGCCCTGAAACTCCCTCCCTAAACATCCCTGCCTCCAAGCTCGACCTAGCCCTGAAACTGCCTGTCTCCACCCTGACCAATCCATGACAGTGCCAGCCTCTACACTCACCTATCTATGACACTGCGTGCCTGACCCTGCCTCGATGACCCTGCCTGCCTGACACTCCCTTCCTGACCCTGCCTGCCTGACACTGCTCACATCCCTGACCCTGCCTCCCTGACACTGCTCATATCCCTGACCCTGCCTCCCTGTCACTGCCTGCCTGACCCTGCCTGCCTGACACATCGGCTATCTGGGTAGGTGACTCACGTACTGGCTATCTGGGTAGGTGACTCACGTACTGGCTATCTGGGTAGGTGACTCACGTACTGGCTATCTGGCTAGGTGGTTCACGTACTGGCTATCTGGTTAGGTGGTTCACATGCAGGCTGTCTGACCAGGTGGCTGACACACCGGTTATCTGGGTAGGTGAGTCACACACAGGCAGTCTGACCATGTGACTGACACGCCAGCTAGTTGGGTAGGTGACTCAGGTACTGGCTATCTGGGTAGGTGACTCACATGTAGGCTGTCTGACCAGGTGGCTGACATAACAGCTAGTTGGGTAGGTGACTCAGGTACTGGCTATCTGGGTAGGTGACTCACATGCAGGCTGTCTGACCAGTTGGCTGACATAACAACTAGTTGGGTAGGCGACTCAGGTACTGGCTATCTGGGTA